ACGATTAACGGGAATATTTGATATTTTAATTAAAACAATCCTTTTGGATTTTTTTGATTGTACATATGTATGATTGCTGTAAAGAATTGGAAATGTCGAGAACCAAAAATCAAAATAAATCCGCGAAAAAATCCGAAAAGATAGTTTTATTTGATTAGACATTTACAACATATTAAATAAATTAATATGATGGGACATTAACACATAGCGCCATCTAGTTCCATGGTAAGCTACGAGGCTTGTGTTATGGATACCAAATAATTGATACACTACACATATATAACTTTAAATACATACATACATATTATAAATATAAACCCATGACTAGAGAACAAAAGTTCGTGCTCATCATACAAATGAATGTCCCCTGCTGGACTCAAACCCGCGACCGCTTGCACAGCAAGTATGGTTACAAATTGAGCCAAACGTGTCGTTAACTTTTAAAAAGTCGCACTGAAGCAGCATCTAATTTCTATATATTCTTGCTAAGCATTCGACACTTACGTTACAGCATGTAGGTCGCGATCCACACACGTAATTACTATGAAGGCACTAAATCATGAAATTGTATTTAGCAATAATTGATATACAATGATCTTTTGACTCATATATTTTCGTAAGCGTCCCGACAACCGATAAATTGATAATTGCGCAGAGTATTTTGAGTACTAAGATTTTTTTGAATTTCATTACAGATATATTGTGTGAAATCTTTTAGTTACTCACATGATCGATGTTTTGTTATTATATTTAACCTTTTTTTAATAATATTTTATATTAGAATTTCTTTAGGACTGTCAGCAAGAAAACTTATATTTGTAGTCTCATATTGTTTTTGCAATAAATTACTTTATTTAATAAATTAAATATTAAATAATTTTCTTGAAATAAAAATTTTGTCTATAATAATTAGAATATAATTATTTTTTATTGTTTTATAAAATGAATTCAAAGTATATTCATAAAAAACATCGAATTCATTACAACTGATTAGTCATGAAGAATAAGTAATAGTAAAACTTGTTGTACTAAAAATCTCATATTTTTTATGTTAACTTTCTTATATACCTACGCGTATTTAAAATATTAAGACTTAACAGTAGTTTAGTTAATAGTTCCAAAAATAAAATTGTTCTTTTAATTTCAATAAAATATTCTTTTTAGACAGTAATAATTAAAAGCGTTTTGATGAAACTTGAATGAGATTAGATGAATTTTAATCATTTCTGTCACTATACAAATACAGGTAACGGTAGCCCAGTGGTAGCTCAGTGGTAGCGCGTTTGCCTGTGTTACTGAGTGAAGCGGATTCAAATTTTGTGTCTTGCACCTCTGTTATTTTTATGTGCGAATCATTTTCAGCATAATTACCACTTGTCTTATAGTGAAGGAAAACGTCATGATTAAATTTGGATATCTGAAAGAACCTAGTGAATTTTCGAAAGACATATGAAGTTCGCACTTCGCCAGGATGGTGGACTAAGGTCTGACCCCTTCATATTGAGGTCCATGCCCAGTACTTGGGCGCTAATAAGAACTATATACAAAACAATGCTATTCAAATACATATATCATGCATTTGATTGTTAAAATTGCGAAATGTACGTAAAATGTAGAGTAATCACTTATCCAGCTTAAAACTCGTAGGCGTGTGCTGCACAATATTCTATAAAAAGTTTTTTAGTTATCAAACGTTTAACGAAAATATTATTATAAAAGAATTGGAAGTTATATGAAACTTGGTGGCATGACAGACGTTTTCCTCCTTCCCTACCTGTACCCATATCAATAAATTTATTTATCACTAACACAAACAGACCTATCCCATGGGAAAAGTTCATTTTTCCGGGATAAAAAGTAACTTGTTCTTAGACTAAAAATATAAGGTATCAGCATGCCAAATTTTACTAAATTAGGTGCAAAGTTATTGTGTACTAAGCTGTATTTGTTCTATTTCTCTTCTTACACCCCCCTGACTAGGTTTTTAGCATTTTTTTTATGTACAGACATTCGACTTTTACAGTTTTATTATATGTATAGATCTTTGAGTTCGCAAAAAAAAATATTAAAAAAAATGACTTTCAGTTGCTCTCGAATTTTCCATTCCAACTTTTCTATTTTTTCTCATAAAAACCTTACCGTTAAACGTGACCGTTTTAAAAATAAAGTTAGCCAAATTTAATCCATCCATTTACTAGTTAAACGTTTACAAACGTACAGCAATACATTTTTATTATACGAATAGTGATATGGTGTGAAGTCATAAGCAGCTGGTAGTATAGTTATTATGGCCTGAATGTATACTTAATACTTTTAACTCGGCCAATAACACTATACAATAACACTATAATTTATTCATAGCAGAATTTTAATTCTAAAATTATATTGATTATACAGAATGCGTGTCTAAATTAGTTCTAATCTATATAATGATAATTTATTTGATTCTTAGTTTTAGTTGTTTTCTTTTAATAACACACTCTTTTCTATAGTTTCGGATTTTCATATTTTGTTTCGTAATCACCAGCCGATAATGAACCCTGGTTTCAATGAAAACCTATAGTCTGTAGAGCTCAAGGGTTAGTTTCTCAATTAAAATAAATGCCATGGCTTTCTACTTTGATGGTAGTTGCGTAATAGCATGTGTTCTATTTAAAATAACAGAGGCCTATTCAAATATTATATGCTATTTTCCGTTATTTTTTTTCAAACAAAAAACGTTTACGAGCTTGTCTACTATCATAACAGATATATCTATATTATATTTCTAATAGGCAGTAAACCAACGGACATATCAATACTCTTTTCAATTCAATTCTTCGTTATTTGGCTTTTAGGCGTGCCAGTTGGGCATAGACTACTTTACCAATACCGTGTAGAATCAATATTATTTTAAATATATTACAGCATTGAACCATATATCATTTTCCGTCGATAATATAAAGAGAAGATTTAGCATTAATTTTCGTTTATCTAACTTCAAAGCTGATACAAAATTTCAATTTATTTTAACCCCTGTAGAGGATAAATGTACGAAATGTCCTACTTATATAAAAACCTTTTGTGAATAAAATGAAACTCATGCTATATCTCTGGAACTACTAAAACAATTAAAAATGTTTCTCATTTTCAATCTATACCTAATAATATTATAAATGTGAAAGTTTGTGAGTATCGATGTTTGTTACTCTTTTACGTCAGAAAGGCTGAACGGATCTGGATGAAATCTGGCACAGCGATAAATTATAGTCTGCAATCACACATAGGCAATTTTTTATCCCAGAAAAATTTACGGCCCCGTGGGATATGTTTGTTGTTGTTTTCCTAGAGGCGAACCTGAGCGAAGTGAGAGTGAGCCACTAGTTATTCATACAAGTGTTCGCCCAGTGGTCGAAATTGGACCATAATTATATTCTTTATTGATAACACTAAAGCTCGTCAATATTAATATACAAAAACAAGAAAATTGGTCGAAACAGACATATTATATGTAAAGGAATAGAAATTCTAAATTCATTTGGTTCTTTTATTCGAATATCCCATATACGTAAGTTGATTATTAAAAGAAAATATGTCTGAGATTATAGGTTAATAGCAACTCACACTCGCTCGAGTTCGTCCCTAGGTTGCTTCCCCATACAAACTGTCATCCCCATATTCATCCTCTTAACGAATGATTTACGCGGTAAAAACTATCCTATGTCCTTTCCAGGGTCTCAAACTATCTTCTTCCCAAATTTTATTTAAATCGATTTGTTAGTTTCGGAGTTTATTCGTTACAAACAAACGAACGAAAAATTCTTTCCTCCTTATAATATTAGTATAGATTAAGCGTACAGTAGTATATTTTGAATATATCTTCCATTTTGTAATGCTATTTATAACTAAGCTGCTGTATATAAATATTGAACCTATAAATCCTAAAGGATGTGTTTTGTGTAAGTGAATATAATTGGCATAATCAACACGTTTCCGCAGACCCGCGAAACTTTCATTGGCAATTTAAATAAGCGACCTGGATTGAACCTAGGACTTCGTGTATCACGATGTTTTTGAAGAGATAGTGGTGTGGATTTTCTATTTTATTCAAGGTAATATTTCTGATATTTATTCCTAAGCAACACTTTTAGTGAATAATTTTGAATATTTTTTCTTTTTAATGTTTAATTCATATCTTACTTAAATATAATCGTATTTTTATCATAGCTAACTAGGGAAGTTTGGATTTAAATAATACTAAAAACTCGAGTGCGTGAATATTTATTTTGTACGTCTGTAGAATGCATTTAACCATAAGTTCCATAAAACATGCTACTTATATTAATTATATACAAAAATATTTCTCACAAAATATTACATTTGAGTATGTATTCGCGACTAAATTTCACTAACATGAGTAAATAATAGAGAAAACATAAAACATATTGAATCATTGAGCAAATGCATAGGAATGAATAGTCGAGTAATATTTCTTGTAAAAAATAACATGGAATGTTTCGAAATAAGCATATGTATATTCTCATTCTCAGATTCATAACTTAAACATATAATGAATAATTGAAACACAATAACAATCGATGCACCCGAATTTAACACTTGCAAAATCATCAAACGACGTTTCAATGAAAATTCTACTAAAATTGAATAAATTATATTAATGTTATACAAAAATAGATGCAGTTATATTAATTTTCGTATTGGATCCAATTCCATTTTCAAAACCAGCTAACTAATCTAACCTTACAGTACAAATAATTTAGTATATACACACAATTTGTACAATGTACATCCTTCAACCGAGGCTTATACCAATAACACTTTCATTTACTACACTACTTAAGATACGTATTTGGATAGACTCTTCAATTGATAACAATTTACAAAACAAACGATTTTGTCCTTCAATCGCAACGATCACCGTCTAATTTACTGGCCTTCTACGTGTGGACAAAGTGATAAGTCAGAGCAACGCTACGAAGCGTTTTGTGATATCGGCGTCACACTTTGGTTGTCAGGTCTAAAGGATGGAGTTTGATTCGCTTTATCTGTGAAAACGATATGTCTTCCTCTTCGCTGGCGGACGCTTGCTCGCTGCCAGATAATAGATCGTCATGGTCAGGAGCAATAACTTCACTATCGTCGGACCGCCGTCGAGCCGAACTCGAACGCCCATCTGATTTTACAGAAAGATCCATTGGGTTTTCTTGGAATGGGGATTCCGATGTTCTTCTCTCAGCAGGCGGTGTTGGTACAAATTCTGCCTCAGCAATTATTTCTTTTTGTGGTGTAGGTTGAGCAGACCGTTGTTGCTTAAGAATTTCGTCTAAAAAGAAACGCTTCGATGACTCAGTGTTGTTGTCATCGATCCTCACATCGTTGTTGTTTTCGGCCGCTTGTCTTAGGGCTGCATGATCCAATAAATGTCTTGAGTAAATAGGATGGAATCCGGGTGGGAAAAGTAGGGGATGATTAGGCGGAAATGGATTAAAATGATGCGGTGGTAAAAAAGGCGAATGGGGGAAGTGAGGCAAGGATATATTGGCTAAAGGTAGGGGAAGGAAGGCGTCTCTAGGTGGTGTTAACGGTCTATCAGGAGGGCGCGATTGCGTTATCCGTGTCTTTTCATCTAATTTAGGGGATGAACCACTTCGGTGTGAATCTGGTGATCCGGAGCAGGGGACCTTATAATCATCAAGGCCTAATAGAACCATCTCTTCTTTAGTTCTCGGTCTTGCGAGTCCAGGGAATAAATGGGGTGGAAAAGGTGGCGCTAGATGGGGCGATGATGGCACCCTAGGAGGTGATTGCGATTGGGCAGCCTGTTGCTGCTCTTGTAAAAGGCAGTGTATTTTGAACCAATTTGATCTTCTACCGTATCTTGATCCGGACTTTGACATGCCAACCATGAGGCATTTGCGCAGTCGACAGGCTTTGCATGCTGTTCTATTCTTCTTGTTGATAACGCAGTCACCGTTGTTTTTGCATTCGGTGATGGAGTTCAGATTGTTGTACGAGCGGCCGAAGAATGACTGAAAAGAAAGAGATAGAAAAGTTAGAGGGCATCGTAGTAAAAATGAGTGATTTATTATCCTATAAATATTGTGATTAAATAGATATATAAGTGGTCTTTAATCATAGCATATTAATGATATCATTAAAATTTACATCGTAAATTATGTATGATATAAAATTTCAAATGATCTTATAAAGCGAGCATGTAAAGCTATATTTACACGGGCTGCTGGTTACAAGAGTGCGTAACGTCGAAAGTGAAACCACTACCTTACTAACGTAGTGTTTACGGCTTAAGACGTCACTTCCGTTGGATATAGGCCACAGGTTCGGTTCCGGTCGGCTAAGTTCATTTATTTACGGTTTCATTACTCGACCTTGGACTTTAATTCATTATGTAAGCCAATTCTATTGTCTAGCTTTTTCGAGTTAATCAAAATTTAAAGGAAAAATCGATACGATCGAATGGATTTGTAATGTTTTTGAAGGCTTTACCTTCAAGAAGCGTTCAGATAATTTTTGATTTTAAGCTAAATAACAAAGACGTATCAATATCAGTAATGGTCATTGCCAAAATATCCTCGGAACATGGGGTGAATGATAAGTCGAGTGCGATTGCACCGATCGCGTCATAGATGAGGAATTTAAACTGAAACAATGCCATCTTTAAATCGCGTTCCGCGCGTGATCCGAATCTTACGAATGTGTAAACGCCGTTCGAGATCGAATGTTAGATAGAGTCGGCGCCCGCGCCGGCTCACTTCTCTAGGTGCTTGTGCGGTTAAAGGCGACATTTTTTGAATTACCTTTAACCAACGTTATTTTTATTACTTACTACTAAGCTTGCTTAAATTATAAATGGTACTTTAAGTTAAAATACAAACGTTTACTTTTTTGATTTTATTATAACTTAAAAATATGTTCTTTACAATAACATTACGATAACTTTTATTAAGATTTTTTATTACTACTACAATTGTTGAAAGTTTTAAAAGTGAAAAGTGCAGGAGAAAACAATAATTTATTTTGTGAATACAAAGCTGTTTATTTTGCTAAGTGACGTAAAAAGTTTCACACGAGCCTATACCCTTTGAACTCAAACTCGACCAACCGGACCAGTAGTGGATAGTTTTCCTGTTGTACAAGCTCACTTGATGTTATAATTAATTGATCAAATTACATTTGTGAATGCGACGGGTTGCGTCGCAATTTGTGCATAATTTGTTACTTAAGCCCATGCTTCACTCATATTTTATTCATAAATATATGTTTTACATAATTTTATTCGTTAAAAATAAAACTTTATTATAATATTTATGATTTATTATGGAATTTAATTCCAAATTTCAACTAACACCATATGTGTCAAGTAAAATAACCTTTTACATCGATTGCTAGGCCGAAAATTAAGTGAACATTGTTATGGTATTTGGGTGATCTCCCGAATGCCATAAAAACTTTATGATGTATAAAACCACGTCTTTACGTTTTTATATATCAATCGTTTTGTAATCGTGTAGGTTTTACATCAAGAAATATTTCATATTGAATAATAAACAAATTCAAAGGCAAACAAGAAGTTCTTAAAAACGTAGTCTTTGAACGCTAATTCTTTACTATCAAATATTATAGACGTGTCCCAAATACCGATTAGACCTTGCATTAATAGAGTATAACATTTAGTTTACAAAGCACTTGACCATACGACGGTACGTTGAGCAATAATATAATACGTATAATTATACACGCGGCCAACGGACGAGTCGGCGACTTGGCCACCTCTGACCCGGTGTACCTGAGATGTCACTTGAAACTTAGAAATATATTATAGTTTCTGTAATTTCTAATTTTATATATTATTGACTATATGTATATGCTTAATTTGATTTCTGTATACATTAGTTACTATTGTAAAGTTTGCTTATTATGTTGTAAATAAAACTATCTTTTCGGAGAAGATTTATTTTGATTTTTGTGACCATGATTGAAGCGTTGGGAACGAAAAATTAAAATAAATCCTGAAAAAAAAGCCGAAAAGATAGTTTTATTTAAAATGCTGCATAAAAGAACTGCAGTACAAACATTCGTGTTCATCACACAAATGAATGCCCACAGCGGGACTCGAACCTGCGACCGCTGGCACAGCATATAGGGTCACTACAAACTGAGCTAAACGTGTCGTTAAATTTTAATTTTAGCTTATGTGTCCAGCAGTATTCATCTAACTTAATTGATATTAACATTGGACGACGAATTTCTAATTTCAACGTAGGAAATTGTAAGCTGCATCGCACAATTTTATCTAAAACATCCTAAAAACACAATCTAATTCAAAAAGCCCTTTGCAGATCCTTGAACATCCTTAGAATGTAACGCAGACGGTCATATATGGGACCATTATACGAGCTTAAGTATTTATGAATACATCCTATTAGTTAGATTGCATGAACTGCCAAGGTTAATACCGCATTGTATTTAATAGCAAAATAAGGTACGGTTTTATTACTCCTCCGCGTCACTGTATGCGCTTCGACCAGATTTATTGCCTCACATCGACTTTTCTGCGCATTGAAACAAGATTCATGACTACTATAGTTGTAAGCACAGTGTTTTAGTACAGTCCCCTGTAAATGCCGTTTCGTAGTACATTAGTTTATACAAATTTACTTGACAATCCAACCCTGCGTCCGAAAACAAATTTATGGGTTCAAATACATATTATTTTTTATGTATATTATTATTTATCGATAATAAAAATGAAGATTTTAATAGCGGAGCAATAAATTCTTGCAAAGGTGCACCTAATAATCTAAGTACTCGTTAGTTCTGAACTCCTCATATCGCAGAATTGCTGAAAAAGGAAATGTCAAATACATTAAAGATTGTAATAACATTTATTATAGAGCCTCTAATAGCGTCCTGGACTCGATAAAGCATTGAATTATATTCGTATCGTTATTGAAGTATTTTATGCGACAGTAAAGTGGTCGCGCAAAGATTTTTAGATTTATTATACGGAAATTGACTTATGTGATTAATAGATTTCCATTGATCCATCCGTGGAAATCTATGGTGTATTGAAAATATGTCGGAAAATGATATGGTTTTTGTATAGAAAAAGATTTTTGATAAATAAGTTATATAATTTATTTTGTGTATTGTATATTTGGCTATTAAGACATAACTTTAAAATTGCATTAAGTATACCTAATTATTTCTTGGTAAGGGGTGAAGATTTTACTTGAAATTTATATAGAAACATCCATGGAGAACAACCTATATATTAAAAATATAATAAAAAAAATCGGCTCATGTATATTATTTATTTATTTAATTTATTTAATCATTTATTTCAGGCAATATTTAAAAAAAATCTTAAATATGTAAACAGATTATAATAATAGAAAGTACATAATAATGGAAAAATTGAGAACAGATAGTATGGAATAGATAGACTATATATTATATGATATATAGCCTATCGTCTATCTTAATAAACGGACTATTTATTGCAAAAAGAATTTTTCAAATCGGATTAGTAGTTACTGAGCTTAGCGCGTTCAAACAAACAAACTCAGACTCTTTATGATATTAGTCTATACATCTATATGTATTCCATCACTAAGGGCAGCGATAACGAAATAATATATATGTAAAATAAAAATTTCATCCTACAAATCGCTACTAAGTCGTGATGCGATAGATCGTGGATCAACAAAGCTGAGCTTATTATTATTAGCTTTACGAAGTTTTATGAAGTTTAATGTAAAACGCCAGTCGTAATGACTGGCGTTTTACATTGCGCGAAATCATTATCAAACATCGAGGTCGTAATATACAAAGTATCTCCCATAAATTTTGTTCTGAGCAAATTCTCTATCCCATTAGGACTTCATAAAGTAAGGTATAAAACTTATAGCTTATTTTATGGTGCTCCCTTTGCGCCTTACCTACCGCAGAGCCTGGACACGTATAGTATCTACTGGTGACTTGCCCGGCATCGAATGGCATTTTATTTACCACTAGCTTTTGAATACGGCTTCGCTCGCATGATAACTGGGGTCAGGATTAAAGGTAGCTTTTATCCGTGCCCAGGATGTGATGTGTGTCCTTGGCAAATTTTATCCAAATCTGTTCAGCAGGTTGGGCGTGATAAGGTAACGGAGCTAGTTATACTCACATTTATAATATTAGCATGGGTTACCCAAACAATATTATTTTTTACATATATTTTTGCAAGCCTTTTTGTTTCAAGGGCTTGAGTTTTAACTATGGCTGAAATGAGTAATTAAATATGGATTTTCCAGTAAAAACTAAAGAGATATTACTAAATTTTCATTGTTTAAACTTTATACCCTCTTTTAACGAAAGTGGTTAAATAAAATCATTTTCTTAGATATCCGTATTAATAATACGCTGTCACAGTAACAGCCTTTATATAGTCGGTGTGGGTATTAATGAATCATAGACTAAGGAGAGTAATTTTATATACATAGATGTGAATATAAATGTCGAAGTTTAATATTTGGGATAAAGATATTCATGATTGGTTCTATTTAAACCATCTCATAAAAATTGAGACGCATGTGAAACTAAATCTATTATAGCATAATTGATTTATCTTCTGTATATAATAAAATTCTGACTGAGTTGAATCTGTACATTGAATATTTTTAAAAATCTTATTTAAATAGTCATTATTATAGATACAGAGTCCGAATCTATAGTTTTTAGAATTTTTGTCTATCTATCTGTCTGGGAAAGTCAGTCATCACGAGAAAACCACTAGACAGATTTTGATGAAATAGCTGGTTATACGGGTCATCATATAGGATACTTTTTACTGCGAGGAAATATCTCATCTATGAGAAATCTATACTCACCTTTAAAACGTATCTAGGGACGAACCCGAGGAAAGCGAGAGTGAGTCACTAAAAGCCTTTAATAAGATTATTATAGCCCTATTTTAAAAGTACCATAAATAATGCATTGTTTATTATCAAATTGTCTTACTCAT